AGTGAAGATTTGTTATAAAGCAACTAGGACTTATAAGTTTTATATACAAACATTACTTTTTTATTGAGATTGTGGCCATACGAAAAATAATTGACTGGAATTAGAAACTGGCTGAATATATATTGTGAGTTAAGTGTTTGCACAAATAGTATAGTTACTTCTTTGAAAACCTGAGATTAAAATAACAGATTTTAAAATACCATATTTGGTTTTAAGCTTATTGTTTTACAATGAATATCAAACTGGTCACATGAAAATGAAAAAGGTGTCATTTATACTTAATTTTTGCATAAATTAGTAATAATAAAGAAAATTACATTTATTTAAAAATCTGTATAAGTACAGTATAATCATCTAACTTTGGCATCTTCTAACAGCTGAAGTTACACATCTTAATCTAAGTTAATTGCTAAGATTTTAAACCTATTCAGAGAGCATAATGAAATGACATATCATTTATATTGTAATAAAAGACCTAGATTATTACTGTTAAGTAGAATTTCTATTCAACTAAGAATTAAATAACACATTTTCTGAAAAGGTTACATGCGTACATTTTAATCATTTTATTGTCTGATGGTTAAAAGAAAAAATTATTCTCTTTCAAGCATAGTATTATGGACGTTTTGTTCACACACATATATATGTCCATTTCTACTTGCTTGTTGTACCTACATTATTTCTTAAATGCACATATTATAAAGTATTTGATGCCTTTAAAAGCTAAATAACGTTTTCAGTTAGACTAATCTGAACTCTGATTAAAACAAACTACCAACATAAACTAAAACTAAATATTAGCGCTGTAGTTATTCCCTATCTTGCTAGGACTATGAAATGTTATAAATACTTATGATGGTTAGAATACATTGAATCATCGGTTCGATACACTCGCTGTTAGATTCTTAATTTCTGGAAGCATTTTAATACATAGTAACTTTAAAGATGCTTCGGCAAATTCAAACCAGATGGAGATTCACTGACATACACTTACGTTTTTATAGCAGTACACATACACGATAAGCCAGATCCTCCAAAGTAGGGTTATCATTACCATCTCGGGGGGACAGCGATACCCTTATAGTTTCAGACTTTTATGTTAAGAATATATACTAGTCGTGTGAAACAAGTAACTTTTTTATGACAAAACTATTTACGATACTGTCAGCTTTAAATCTTAACTCAACTTTTCTTGTTATTATCTACAAAAGTAGATTGGTTGCTGCATGTTTGCACAAGTCCTTGAATTTTATTCCATTTTGAAACAAGTGTAGCTTTCGTTGTTTCACGAGCAAGCAACTGCATAATATATGCTCATAACTGCTTGTGGCGCTAGTGAACCATTTATCTAATCGATCACCAACATTTCCCCCAAATCATCCCTTCCCACTGACATTCTCATTCCAGTAGGACTTACCAATTTCTAATCATCTAATGCGACACTTCTTCCGAATTGCTGCTTATTAGCAGGAACGCATTACATGATTAAAAGTACTTAGCGTAAGGGGAACTCGTATTTGTAAGATTTTACATCAGTGGTTCTACCTTTAGATTGATAAGTATAAATTTTTCAACACTAGAGATTATAAGTGCTCACTCCCCAAATTACCTGGTGATTCTACACTTAATATTAGTTCTATTCGATCTTTGTTTCTATTTCTGTAATCCTAAAGTTTTATTTACATGTTAAGTGTTTCTTATATAATCGTAAACCTTGGAACACAAAGTGTAAGTATCAGATCTGCTGAATAGCGGTTTGATGTTTACCTTGTATAGTCATGACCTAACCACACCTTTTCAAAAATACTGTGCAGTGCAACAATTTGTATCAGTGACTCCATGGTTCTGGTTTTGTATCAGTGACTCACTGATACAAAACCAGAACCATGGAAGAATCACTGATACAAAACCAGAACCATGGAATCACTGATACAAAACCAGAACCATGGAGTCACTGATACAAAACCAGAACCATGGAATCACTGATACAAAACCAGAACCATAGAGTCACTGATACAAAACTAAAACCATGGAATCACTGATACAAAACCAGAACCCTGATACAAAACCAGAACCATCCTGACTCCATGGTTCTGGTTTTGTATCAGTGACTCCATGGTTCTGGTTTTGTATCAGTGATTCCATGGTTCTGGTTTTGTATCAGTGATTCCATGGTTCTGGTTTTGTATCAGTGATTCCATGGTTTTAGTTTTGTATCAGTGACTCTATGGTTCTGGTTTTGTATCAGTGATTCCATGGTTTTAGTTTGTATCAGTGACTCTATGGTTCTGGTTTTGTATCAGTGACTCCATGGTTCTGGTTTTGTATCAGTGACTCCATGGTTCTGGTTTTGTATCAGT